CCAACCAACCAACCAACTAACCAACCAACCAACCAACCAACCAATCAATCAACCAACCACCAATCAATCAAGCGAACAAAACAACAAAACAAAGCAATCAACCAACAAACAAACAAACAAATAAACAAACAAACAAACAAAAACAAACAAACAAAAACAAACAAAATAATACCCTATGCAAATGCAATTGCATCTTAATTTATCTCCGCGTGAGTCAAGTGCAATTTTTAATATAAATACATCTACTACTTTAATGCGAAATGCATAAATATAACTAAATACGCGTATTGCACGGGGTAAATGAAATGTAAGCAACAATATAGATATAAACGAAGCAGTTGCAATGATAGCGATGAAAAGTTAACCAACTCCTTGTTTAAACAAATAGCGTGTCGAAAATGAAACAATTAATCATAGCGTTCCAATGACATTTATAAAATGTAGAACTAACGTTTCAATAATTAATGATTGAATAAACATTGGTGCGTTTCTACTACTATAATAACATAATATTCAATATCGAATGATTATAATAACTCATATTTATGCACCTAATGATTAGTTGGTTCCCCTCCCCCTCCGCTTCAATTAATGACATAAAATTTGATTGCATAATTCATTATAGAAGTTTCGGAATCCATTTAGAATAAATAGTTACAAGAGTTCAATATTTAGTTAAGTGGTTTTATTGAGAAAATAATTTTCGGAACCATTTAACCATTGAAATTTCGTATTTCTTTGAAAAGTTCGATAGACCATTTTTGTAATTGAGACAATCATCTGCTGTAAAAAAAAAAGAAAAGAAAAAAAAATAAATAATAATAAAAAATCAAAAAAAAATCATCAAAAATATAGATTGAAATATATTAAAAAGGAAATAAGATGCTCGTGTAAATAGTCGGTTTACTTTGAACATTTCAATAATATTGTAAATCTTTGTAATAATTGTAAAGGATTGTACAAAAATATTTGAATCTATTCGATTGAATTATACTTGACCTCTATTCGCATTTGTTATTTTAAAAATGTTAGGATAATTCAGTTCCTTGCACCGCATAGAATAATGGAATTTGACTTTCACATAAATTATGGGTTTTGTTTATTATGATTGGCAATCTGTATGCGTCAAGTGAATATCCGATTGTAAAGGGCGAAATGGCGTTATTGAATATATCTTATTTCACTTAAGCGAGCGCAAACCAATAAAATCGATAATCATCTCAATGATTAACCTACCAATTATATTAATTATAGATATATTTATTAAACGCGAGATAAATATCATTGTAAACTTTTATATTCACTTACTTTAACAATCTATTTTCTAAATACAATAATTGGGGGTTCTACAATAATTTCTTTTATAATAATTTATTATTAGCAGTAGGAGTGTACATTTTACAAATAAACTATCAAGCAAATAATAACTATTAGGGAAAACAATTTATTTTTTATCTAATTTTTAATGACGAAATCAAGATATTATCTATTTAAATATTATAAAATAAGGTAAAAAACAACAACGATTACTTTCCTTCAATATCTTAAGCATTTCAAAGGATTTTTAAAGTCGGATAAAATCAGTTTGTTAATTTATTTACTATTTAGTGAGTTAGTTTTATGTGGACGAAATGTAGAAATTTGCACGTCGATATGATTGACAGTAACGGAATTGATAAGTTTTACGATCCATTTAATATGGTAAATAATGGATGCCGAAATTGATTAACGTAATACTCGTATGCATTGTCTTTACTTTTGATGGATAATTTTCTATATCCATGGATAAGCTTTTTTTTTAACTTTTAATAAGAGCTATAAAATGATACGATTGGCTTCAATTTTTACATGATTTGTTATTAATTATCGAAAATAGATTGTAATCATTCGTGAGATTCTTTTAATAATAATTTTTATTGATCTCCGGTTAAAGCGCAAGTAATTGAAGTTCCATTGAATGGATTTTTAATTTTCAACTAATCGAATAAATAAACAATAAATAAGAGCGTTGATAGAAAAGACTTTTCTCTTAGATTCATTTTACACAAATGACTCGGCTTTCTCATAGTTATTAATTACACAGTGAAGTCTAGCTAAATATTGAATAATAATTGAAACGATCGGTTTTATAAAAAATACTTGTTATACTATAAGATTGCAAATGTCGAATTTCATTTGTGATATATGGCAATTATTATCATACATCGTTATTTCATGAAAAAATTCTTTCTTTTCATACCCATTGACTAAAATATATTTACTTGCATTGAAAAGGTTTTTGTTAACCAAAAAAGTCATAGTTTTAATATATATTCCGAATGTTTTTTTGTTTGTTTTTTAATGAAATTAACAATAAGCAATTGGTTTGTATATATATATATATATATATATATATATATATATATATATATATATATTTATTTATTATAGTAATGCTTTAGCCTGACCTCGCGGCTATAGCAGACGAAAATTGACAGTTCGTGTATCGCGATTCTAATTGTTTCTTATTTGTATAAACATACGTGTCTGTTGTGCATCAGTGGGAGCTATGAATGAGATTAACAAGTGTTAGATCGAAAGGGCAAGGGTGGGGCTGCGGTAGCAGGAAGTTTGTAAGAAAATTAGGGATGTAAAGAACACGGTAAACTTTGATGTGTGCACGCGCGTGTGTGTTTCACCATTAAATTTCAAAGAATCGTCAACGTAACACATAACAATGAATGCACATGCGGTTTTCTAACTTTCGTAATATTATACATTGTGGTTACTACACATCCACTAAACTATACAATAAATAAAAATTTTTTCACATAGAAATATTTTACATTGATAAACGCAAACACAAGAATTATACAATTAAATATAGAAAAAGTAATAATTAATAAATAATTTTAATCAACATATAATAATTTTAATACCGCATTTCTAATTAACCGCTCTATACGAAATCATTAAGAATCTGAAAATCTCGTCTGTGAGATGCCATTGAAATATTTATTATAAACTCTCGATGATCGTCACGGCGATGGTCGCTCAATGTCCTGCGATAATCCACAATGACGCTCGACCAAATCCCATTTGAAAACAAACATTAATTATTAAAAACTAGCGCCTATAAATTGGATTTCTCGGCGGATTGCTGCTTTAATAATTCAATTACGCCACTATAAACAGAGTGTCATTTAACGGCTGAATAATTTTCAGCTTGTCTATCAGTACGAGGGAGATAAGACGGCGACGGTAGCCGAGCCAGCCCTCGAGTCCGGCATCCTCCAGAACTTGGACCACAAGTTCATGCAGCAGCGCCAGGAGCGCGAGGAGACGATGTCCGGCCTGGCCTTGGAGCGCGATCACGCGGCCCAGCAACGCGAGAACAAGATGCAGCTGCAACAGCACGAGCGGGACCAGCATATTCAGCAGCTGCAGTCGATCAACAGCTTACTCCTCGATCTCCCGACGCCGTCGTCCCCCAATTCCTACAGCAGCTCCAAATTCTCCCACGACGTCACCTCGCCCACTACCAAAGATGGCCCCGCGAGCCTCGAAGGTGACCTTTATTATCATATCCGCAGTCGTTTGCGTTAATCGTTTTAAAAGTTTTTATTAGGTGGCTCGTCTAGGGGAGTACGGGGACGGTCGTACGGATGCTCACTTTCGATACCTCTTCCTCGTCCATCGTAGGCCGCGATTTTACAAAGCTAATCCGCTTGAGAAATTTTCGAGACTGCAACCGACGCCAGTCGATTTTTGCCAACGATTATTATCCAAATTCGTCCTTTGTCGTAATAATGGTCGTTGGCGATTTAGGCTACAGATTATTTAATTCGAAAATTGCCTGCGACGACCACACGGGATCGCATATGTGCCAACAAATTTATACAAATTTTCATTAGACAAAAATCCGAGGAATTATTGGATTTGAGGAGAGTGTCATTTTAAATTTTTGAATTTTATCGACGAATTCGACGGTTGGCAACATTTCACATTTTCTTATTCCGCCAGCAGCTTCTAACGTAAATTATTAGCTATACTATTAGCATTTGTGAAAAATTGTTCTCCATTTATTTATTTATTTATCTTCACTTTATTTCTTATTGTCAAAAAATTTTCAACAATAACGGTTAGATTTTGTAAAAAGAATAGTGCAACATGGATAGTACACGATTCGCTGAAAAACAGGCACAATACGATATTTTATAACGATTTTTTTTTTATTTTTATTTTTTTTTATTCATATATTTACCCCAGCAATTATTCTAATCTTGGATCTTCAAAATGCTCATTCGCATAATTATGTTTTCTATTTATTGAGTTAAAAATCGTGCAACAAATTCTTTATAAGAAATATTTCGCTTTTATGAAGTTTAAAGCTTGATTTTCGTATTGCATTTGTTTAAATACACATTACCTTGTAAGATATTAGTTTTGAGGGAAAAACATCGTGAAATCGTATTTTATACAATTTTAAAAAGAATCTTATATTAATGAAAAATATTCTTTGTAAAAAGTTTACATAATTATTAAATGAGAAAATGCGAATTTTAAGTATTCATAAGAATATTTAGAAACTACAAATTTGGATTTATTCTTACATTGCAAATGGTTTTCATTTTTTCTTTCTTTCTTTTCTCCTATCTTGTAAATATTTATGACTTTCATATATTGTCTTTGATAAAATTATAACGAATAGAGCTTGAAAATCTTTTCTTCATTGACTAAAGTAATAAGAGTTATTCAATGTAATTGACTAATTTTAAAATAGCTTGAATTATTATGTTATATGAAATCTTGCATAGTTGAAATGAAATAATGAAATTTCTAGAACAATTAGAAATCGTGTGATTATTCAGATACCGTAATTAAAAGCTATTGGCATTGTATCTTAATCAATCTTAAATCAATCCTAGTAAATATTTGCATAATAAAATAAAAGTAATTTTATCGTAATTATTTATTTATTGTTGCATTCGCTTGTTCAATTATTGAACATTGTACGAGAAAATATGTATTACCGATTGAATTATTTTTAATTGTCGTAGACATGTCAATTTCTGATCTTTTTGGACTTGGATTACCACGTGGATCATTGATGGGTGCAGGACAAAAGGAACAAGAAGGTCAAACTAATTGTGATAGTCCCGCATATCGATACTATCATCAGGTAAGTCATCCATTCTTTTCTCAATGTTAATAACATTATCAATATTTGTATATAAAGAAATAGGAATGTTAATAAATGGGAGATTAATATGAAACCATCGCTGTACGACTAGTTCATGTATATTGAATATTTAATGGAATTCGTTTTGTATTTGTACATAATATTTTGGCGTATATCAATCTATGTCGAACTTGTTTCAATCTCAACGCATCGCAATAATTCCTGTACTTATTGAACTTGAAATTACATGTAAGAAACTCACGAAATGCATGTCTATAATTCAACATTACTAATTTAATAATAAAGTATAATATCTACTTTTATGTATTTAAAGTACAATAGACGTGTTCAATCATGCGTGTTATTGAAATTTTACGGTAAGGTGAAATTACTCAGATCAGAATTTCTATAATAATTAAAGAAAAATTTCCATTTATAATAAAAGCTTTTATAGCAATTTAACACAATTTAATTGCCGATATAGTTATTAAAAAACAAAAAACAAAAAAGAACTGCTTGAGATTTCGTTTAAAATTTTTAATTATAGTTGCAAGCAATTTAATGTTTTTAATGCCAGTTAAAAAGAAAAATAATTCCTAGATAATAAATGTATCGTTTATACCTGAGTAATATATAAATATTTATTTTAAAAATAAACAATTACAATAAAAATTAGTATTAAAGAATGCATGATTGAAGCCATCATTTTATTAATTCGCTGCTCTTGTATTACAAAAGTGTCATATAAATCCGATAATCTTGATCAATGCATTTCTTGCTGTTATAACTTTTATAAATGTTGGGAGTATTTTTAGCTTCTTCTGCCCAGATTGAAATGCTTAGTTAGCCTAAAACACCTGACACAATTAACATGATATACACGCTGTATATATATGTGTGTGTGCGTGTGTGCGTGTGCGTGTGTGCGTATGTGTGTGTATATATATAAGTTTTCGAGAGAAAAAAAACGCATAGATGATTCTATTGTTTATATTTATAGTCGATTTTTATTTCTTATAAAGCATGCCAATATTGATGTGTATGAAAAAGTTATTGAAACAAAATTTTCATTTGATCTTTTATAAATCTGTACGAATTTATTGTAAAACTCCGTTTTGTAATTTCAAACTGAATATTTATTGATAAAAATTAATTAGTGTCGATACATTTCATACAAAAATAAATAAGCTACGAGTCTGTCTGCATTTACACGTATTAATAGTTAATAGCTGCTTATTAATATTGATTTTAATGTTCAACTTTCATTTCTATTGTTTTCTATTCTATTGTAAAATTAATAATTAATATTTATACTTGAGATGTTTAAGCTGCACGATATATGAACGCTCATTTACCCGGAATAAAATAATTTTGCTTTGATTTTTGTACATTCATAAATAGTTGCATTACTGATTTCATTGGAAGATTTATTTTATTTTTTCTCTGCATTAATATTGTTGCTTTGTTAAAGCTATTACAGTTATTAACATATACTGGCCAACGGTATCTCTCAGCTAAACATACTTTAATGCTCGTGTACATGACTCGCCGTTCTTCCCCTATTCTTTCTAGACCTTTTACGATACTCAATCTATGCTAGTTTCATATATTGCATATAGAAATATAGACAAAGAGCTGCTTGTATAAAAATAAATATGTTAATATTTTAAATTGTAATAAGCCGTTCATAATTATCATATCGGGTTTCTTTCTACGGATATTTTCTCAAATTGTACTCGCGTTAAAGTTTAATCCTTACCTTATATCAAGAAATTCACTTAATTTTGTCTAAACTATTCAAATAAATGTTCACATTATTCTTTTTAATGATGCAATAATAACTAATATGTTGTTACTATGTACCCAAATTTTAAACAGTAGACTTTCTTGTGCTTGCAAATAGTTAATGCACACTACAAGTCATGCGTCAAGATATAAATTATTTATATCAATAATTATATTATTATTTTAGCATTGCGCCGGATTTACTCTATTTAAAAATCTTGCTTAATAAATTTTACGCCGTTAATGTAAACATTTATCAGATATTAAAGTTATAGTGAAGTTTCATATTAAAACGGTCTTTACATTATTCCAATCATTTGACTAATATTTTATTTAAGTGTAAAATATTCGAATACTATTGTGTAATATTTTTAAAATTAATAATAAACTTTTTATTTTATTCTCATATTTTCATTACAAAAATTTTAAACATAAAATAAAAATAGAAAATTTGACTTACACAAGTAAATTATTTTATTCAATATTCTCTTTTATTATTTATACCTTTATCATTTGTATTTTTTATTTGTAATACGGTATATTCTAGATTTATTAGAATTTAATTCGAGTTCTTTAATTCTATTTAATTATTATATTTTGATATTAATTTGAACATACAATTTTCAGTACTTTGATTTGATAGATTAAACAATTATATATATGTATATATATATATATATATATATATATATATATATATATATATATTCTTTTAAGGGTAAGTGTAAATAATAATATTAATATTTATATATTAAGACCGTGTTTTAGAAATATTTATATTTATTGTAAATATTGCGTTATTCATTCACTTGCATATTATGAATATTATAAATACTGAAACAACTAATATAATTTACTTTATGCGAAAGTCTAATAATATTTGACGCTAAATATTAATATCATCAACTTGAAGTTTTTTAGAGAACTTTAGAATAATTAAAATATAATATATAATACTGAGATATCTATATACTGATGTTATTGTTGTTTCTGTTCTTAATCTTGTTATTATTACTATTATTATTATTATTATTATTGTTGTTGATGATGTTGTTGTTGTTGTTGTTGTTGTAAAATTATAATAATTATTTATTATTAATATTAATTTTGAATATGTTATTTTTCATTACATTTAAAGAAATTAGAAACATCGATAAAAGTTTGTTCCTAACCCTTATCAAACAAATATCGAGATTTATTTATAAATAACAAAAAAAAAAAATTAACCTTTAAAGAAATGTTGTTATCGTTGAAAATGAGTCTATATCTCACCTTTTAAAAATTATAATCTTCGTATACTTGTCGAATAAATGTTTAGTAGAGTTATTAGTTTTATTTTATTGTTCTCATTTTATATTTATTACGTTGCATAAAAGCAATTTGACGTACGGTACGCAGGCTCTCGAATTTTCTTGTCAACTTATAAATATTTGTAAATGTGAATACGTACTGACATAAAAGTATTAAGTATATCTAGCATTTTCATACATACAGCAGCAGTCTTTTAGATCTGAAATCAACAGCTGATATGGCTATTAAAGCAACAGTCAACCTTCCGAAAGTAATTAAAAAAATTATTTTATTTTCCATCCGTCTATAATTAATTTTATGTCAATTTCATCATTGTAAAGCACTTTTTTCATGTCGCAAAGAGTTTTCTTTGTAATGTGAAATTTATAATATTGTATATTTATTAACGGATTTTGAGAAACGAGTAAATTCCCTTGTCTATATATTGTAAACAATGGCAGCATTTAGGCATTTGTGGTAAAATTTGTATTTGCACAAATTTTCATTAGCATTTAATTAAATTACTTTCTGCATTATCAAATATAATGCAATATAATTTTAAATGAATAATACAACTTTTTATCTATCGATAAGTCTCATTAAAAATTAAATTTATTTAAATTTTAAATTAGGTTTATTGAGTTATATATTTTACTACTTAGTGTCGTGGCGATTTTGATGATCTTTCAGTTTTAAAACTATTCACGAAAATTTATAAATTTAAATATTCAAATGAAATAATCACGTTGATAAATTATCGGTATTGCATTGCTGTATTTTGAAACGTATCTTATTCTTATGCTGTTTAATTACACAATATTGAATTAAAAATTGAGTTGTAATTTAAAATTATTAAATGGTGATTAGAATATTGGAGCATTAATATTTCTTTTAATATTGAATATTGTTGACTTTTTTTCTCTAGGAAGCTCGTTGTTACGCATACATTCCGCTTAAATAGAACAATGTGTGTGTGTGTGCGTGTGTGCGTGCGTGCGTGCGTGCGTGTGTGTGGCGAGAGAGAGAGAGAGAGAGAGAGGGAGAAAATTATTTTAATATTCGCGCTTGAAAAATAATTTTCTTCGCATTTGGCAATGCGGCGGACGAGAGCTGACAAAAATTTCATGAAAATTGCAACCTCGTTCTAAAAGTACAAGTGGAAGAAAAATTCACTTGATTGATTGTGCGCTCGTAAAAGTGTCGTGGTGTAGGTACAATTGGATGTCCGGCTCGATACTTTTGTACTTTTGGCGCGCCCGCGTCATGAAATATCCGACGTAATAAAAGCCTCGGGGGAAAATGTCTTGTTGAGCATTAGGCTGGAACGGGCTTGCAATGAGCTACGACCGGACGATATTTCCTCATATATTATGTACTTGAAAGATGCTAAACGTATGCTCGTGTTTTAAGAAGACGACCCGGATTACGATAGCGCCAAGAATCGCTGGCCAAAATTGCCGCCTCCACATCTCCTTTTGTGCGATAATCCTTAGAGCTGTCGTAACAGTCTCGATAACTGAGATTTTTAAACAGACGCGTATCGTTCTTCAAGAATTTTGCTCATAATTCCCAGGGAGTACGACACGTACCGTTAGAAGTACACGAATTTTTTGCCTTATAATATTTTTACAAATGCCAGTTATCGTTTCACTTGCAATTTATTTTATTTATTATCATAAAATATACAATTGTACTTCGTATTTTTATATTTCCTAGCTGTAATGTTTCGAAATAAAATGTCTAGGATGCCCGCGAATACGATTAAAAGAAAGCTATTTACATGAGTATACTCATTTTTATTAAAATAATAAATACTCCATTTTAAGTAAATTGAAGAAATTAGGTTTCTGAAATTTTATGTATGCTCACATTAATTATTCTTTTAATGTTGTGATAATCCAAAGCTACATTGATTTATTTAATGAGATTTCCGAAAATGCTCGAGTTCAAAGCGTTATGAATTTTGTGTGTGTGGATGTGTGTGTGTGTGTGTGTGTGGATGTGTGTGTGGATGTGTGTGGATAAATGTACAGGAACAATAAACTTTTAATATTATTTTCTTAATAATATTGTATAAGTCAAAACATGAATTTTTAAACAATGCACAGACTATATGTACCTATAATAGATAAAAATAATCAAAAAAAAAAAAAAAAAAATGATTACGAGATATTTACTTTCATTTTTCTAGATTTAACATTAAACTATCCTTTTCGATCTCTTCTTGCCCCTTCCTCCTCCGAGCTTTTCCGCGATATTATTTTGGAACTAATCCAAAACTGGTGTTTAGGAACAAATTTGTAATGATACTACGCTTTCCTTTATTTCTTCATTACTTTCCCATATGTTTTCCAAGTATTGTTCTTCCTCATTTCTAAATTTTGTCTTCAATTGGAATAGTAAAAATGAAAGAAATTTGGCACCAAACACAGTCATAGTATATATAGACTTAGAACAAATAAAAGTTTGAATATAACCAAAAAATTTATTTTTTCTTTAAGATGATTTATCTATATTAGTGAAGCAGCATCATTGTCTAGTAGATATTTATTATATTATCTATGACATAATAAAATAATATCATATTTTAGTTATTTTTAACGGTTTGATAATTTTGAACGGAAATTAAAATAAAAGTCAACTATAAAATATTAATGCATTATCAAATACGATGATGATTTGATATGTTTATGGTAAAACTGTATTTTAATGTGTGCCTATGTATGTAATAAATGCAATATATTTATAAGTGTATTCGTCTATTATATATTTTGTATATTCTATATATTTTTTAAACAACTTGTATTATCGGAAGTATTGTAAATTATTTTATTTCTAACGAGAAGTATAATAAACCCATTAAATTCAATTATTAATATATATATACACACACACACACACACACACACAAATATATACAAATATTCATTTATTCATTAGTTTTTATTAATACGATCGATACAAATTGACATTGAAAATATATTGTAGGACATCGCATGTAAACTATATTGATGATATCATATATTTAATAGAGTAAACGATTAATTAAAACAAGAAAAAGATTAATAACTGCATGATATTGATATTAATGGTAATTACTTTATTTAATTTTTTGTAAATGTTAGAAAATTAAAATACTTATGTAAAAGTGAATAAAATAATCATTTATTAATTACCATAAATTTAAGTATTTCTTAGAACAGAGTTGTATAGCATAATCCACAATGTAAGTTATTCAGAACAAAGCGAGCTACTATCATGTTTGAAAAATAATAATTATTGAATTTCAATGAGAAAGATCGTAATATATCGGTATTTTATTTATTTTAAACGTTTACTTATAATAATTAGTGTTTTGTTCTTTAATTTTATTTAATAATTGTAAGCCGAATAATAATCTTATAATTAAAATCAATATAATATATTTATATAGTCGTTTATTTTCATTCATTTAAGATGATTTAAGATGAATTTAGTCCTTTTGTGCTTTACATTGTTTCAGCAACGGGACAATTCGGCTGGATTCTATTCAAAACCATCAACTATCGAGGTAAAAGATCTATTGGATAATAATAAATTTATTTCTTATGATATAATTAATAAATTATTGCAGCTTTATCTTATCAAACTTATAGACTTAATATAAGGGGGAGGGGCGATAAAACGTACTAATAAAATTTTTATTATTCGAGGACATTTTTGTGTTATTACTTTCTTTGTAAATTCATTTATAATTAAATATTAATTTCATTCGGGAGTGTTCTTTATTTTCAGTAACTTGATAAAAAAATTTATTGAACATTTTGATAAAATAATTGACTGGATAAGTTATTGATTTAAACGCATTGCTACTTATAGTTACAAATTCACTTCGGATGCTGCATTTTTGAAAATCAGCATTATCAAGTTATGAATGCCTTTAAATTGATGCTTTACTTAAATTTTTTATTGTTTATGTTGTAAATCCCTGCTATTTCTACAGCAGCACAATAATTCAAGTGGATACTATTCAAACACATCTAAAGGGGATGTACCAAGCTCACCGATTTCATTTCATACGCCAGCAAGTCCCAGTACTCCAGGGAGTCTGTATTCAAATTCCTATTCTTATTCAAGTGTAAACAGCAGCCCTTACACCTCGGCTTCTTCAGTATCAAACGATTATAATAAACAAAGTCCTTCATCTCCAATTCGTTATCCATGTTACGGACGACCTATTCGAGGTTCTACACCGTATAGGTAATTGTTTCGTTATTTAACAAAAGAGCCGTTGAATAATTGCAAAATATAGAGTAAAATAAAATATCCTACATTTAAGTGATTGCAGTAGTCCATCGGTAGAATTCTCTCCGCATCCTTATAATTGCACTGGCTCGAGATCTAATTCGCCTGCAGATTCTGAAAATAGTGTTAACAGCATCGAAAGTCCCTTATCTGACATTATGGTATGGGGTTTTAAAACTCCCTAATTTTCGATTTCATTTTGTGACCATGGACTTTTCGCATTATTGAAATTGAAATTCGTAAATTACAGAGTTACTTGTCGCTGAATTCAGGTCAACATCGCTGCTATCCTACCGATCAAAATTCATTATTAGAAGCAGAAAAATACTTTCAGTATGGCAGAGCTACCTTAGAGCTTCTAAAACGCAAAAAGTACTTGAATAATTCACATCTACAGCAACAGCAGCAACCACAAACGCCGATGCATCACTATCATCATCATCATACTCATGGACACACAAGAAATCATCATAATCAGCAGCATAATAGTCCTTACATAAATCCTGTTTTTGGTTCAGAGAAAAGTTGCTGCTTGGGAAACAACAGAAATGTTTCAATTATTTCATTACCTAATACCGCCCCACCGTCCCACTTGTCATTAGATAAAGCTGCCCGATACCATCGCAATGCCGCAGGTATTTATCAAATGAGAGTGAAACACGACGTGAAAACATTGGCATTCGAATTAATTTTCGCGTTGCCTTTCAGCTGCTTCAGATGCCAATTATACTTGGAGCGGTACCTTGCCGCAAAGAACTCAAAAACCGGTTGGGTATTCGTCAAAAGTATTTCTAGGTGGTGTGCCATGGGATATTACAGAGTCTATTTTGATATCCACATTTAAGCAATTTGGCCAAATTCGAATAGAATGGCCTGGGAAAGATCAAACTACTAGTCAGCCAAAAGGATACGTATATATCATATTCGAGTCCGAGAAACAGGTGCCAATTATGCTTAATTTAATGCTTCATTGTTAATTACGCTTTACGCGCTGTCTCTAACCTTCACATTATCAGGCGGATAAAATTAATTAATAAAATAAGAATTTTTCTTTAGGTGAAATCGCTTCTTACTTGTTGCACCCATGACTTTTCTAACGGAGGTAGCTATTATTATAAAATTTCATCAAAAAGAATGAAGGGCAAGCAAGTAAGAATTAAGGACAAATTTAATTTAATAAATTAACAATTTGCAAAAATTTGTTGTCAAACGCGCGACGTCTGACGCTATCAATAATCCATTTCAGGTACAAGTAATCCCTTGGGCTTTAAACGATAGCAATTATGTGAAATCCTCATCTCAAAAGTTAGATCCTGAAAAAACTGTTTTTGTTGGAGCACTACATGGAATGATGACCGCTCCCGGATTGGCACAAGTGATGAATGATTTATTTGATAATGTGATTTATGCTGGTACGCTGTTTTAACTGTTGCAATTATTTAAAACAAATGTTATTACGTTCATTCTTTAAGTCAATTATTATCTTAGGAATTGATACTGACAAACATAAGTATCCGATTGGATCGGCACGAGTTACTTTTAGTAACAAATACTCCTTTCACAAGGCTGTTAATGCAGCTTTTATTGAAATAAAGACTACTAGGTTCACGAAGAAGGTACAAGTCGACCCGTACATTGAAGATGCACCTTGCTCAAGTTGTTACGTCCAACAAGGACCATATTTTTGTCGAGAATCGGTAATATATGCTCTACAATTGTAAATACGTAAATTCATTTCGTAATATATTGAACGCACCGCTGGCACATCGTTAATTTAGCGGTTTATTCAAAGAGAGGAGATGATTGATATTTTATTATGAAATTATATAATTATACCTCGGGGACAAAAGTCGATACAATTATGCCAATTGTGCCATAACGTTAACGATGTTTTAATTGCAACATTTAATCTTAATTACGTTTAACATTAATAAGCTTCAACGCCACAAAAAAACTATTAACTCGAATTTCAAAAATTATGCGACAAAAAATTTAAATAAGCACGAAGCTTTATATTACAAATGGCACGTAAAATTCATAGCGCTTACGAGAGTTTCTTAAAAACAAGAAGAAGAAAAAAAATTGATTATCAATATGAATAAAACACCTGAGCTGTCGGTTAAAAATAAAAAAAAAATATTTGTGTTCCTCTGTTCCAGAGTTGTTTCAAGTATTACTGTCACACCTGCTGGCAATGGGTGCATAATAATGATTCCATAAGTTGGCACAAACCCATGTCGCGCGGTCTGAAAACCAATCAGGTAATAGGTCTAACTCCAAGTGTTGGAGCTGGTCGCTCGACAAATCTGATATAATTTCCTAAGTGGTTGTTCTGCTGACATCGTTTAGCCAGTGCTCCTCCTACCAATCGACGGACATACGTCTTCTTTTCTTTGACCACAGTCGACGGAGGAGCACGAACTGGACGTTTATTAGTAAAAAAAAAAACAAAACAAAACAAAACAAAAAAAAAATAAATAAAAAATAAAACTGAGAGCGACGGTACGCAACGAGAATTTTATAATTCGCAGTTAACTGTACAAGGGAGAGAATAGGGCTTTTTGCGAACTATGAAAATATCGTGTCGGCTATGCGCTTGTTTTCAATGGTTATAGAGCCTAAGCACTTTGAGTTCCTAATAAGAGCAGAGAAAAATTTTTTATTTGTCGCCATATCATTATCAAGAACACTGGTCTGGGGGAAAATATTGTTTTAATTATTATATTTAAGGAGAGAAAAAAATAATTATTGTTATAATTTCGGTCGTCTTAGGTGCGATTCGGAGGGCCCCTATTGACGAGTGGACCCAGTCAGTTATTGATATAATTTGATTTATAATAATTATTATAATAATGTTATCTACTAGCGAAAGATTGAAGTATTCGTTGGTAGAGAAATTTTGTGCGTTTATTGTAATAGCAGTGGAAAAAGGTTTTTGCCACTAAAAATATCCTCTTATTCACTTGGCTGTTTAAACAATGACGAAATGAAGAAGTTATATACGGGCTACGATTCTGATTGTAGAACTTCGATCTTTTTTTTTTTTTTTTTTTTTTTTTTTTTTTTTTTTTTTTTTTTTTTAATTTTTTGTTATGATTTATTATTCTCGCAATTTGCGTGTTGCGTCTATTTGTTTAAAATGCTGATTTTCTGCCGCGCTGTCTCTAATGTTTCGTTTTTTTTTTTTTTTATATATGATTCTGTTAAATTGGATTAAACAATTTAGATTTTTGCATAAAAACCTTTCTTTTTTTCATTTTTTTAAAACCTCTCTCTCTCTCTCTTCCTTTTCTTCCTCTGTGCTAAGCTAAGCTAAGAATATGGTAGTATAATTAAGCGAAATCAATTAGTACTTAACATTAGGCGATTTTTAAATAATTAGAGCATAATTAAATTAACGAAAAAATTATATTTCATGTTTCAATATTTTAACGGCACGAGAAAATAAATCTTTGTCGATAGGATGTAACGTTGCTATCGACATGTTAAAAATGAAGCATATGAAGCTTTTGAACAAAGAATTTACAATAAAATTAAGATTAAGTATTAAAAAAGTAGTGTCGTAGCCATAAAGTTTATTGCAAGGTGATGGAGGACAATTGCGTTCGTGAAATCCTTGTGAGAAAAATTTTAACGATTATCTTTTATCCTCAGTCTTATTTACTCAGTTTTAATCTATCGTGCCTTTTAACGTGATCTCCATAGTTTTATTACGAATACGGCGAAATGCAAAAGAAATTATTTTTAAGTCTAAAAAAATCAAGCGATTTATCGAACTTATACACACGCGCATACTTGAAAAAGTGATTTAATCTGATGAATAAGACTGTAAAGCATTCAGCGGCGATGCGCTTTTTACCATCTTATAGTGTCGATAAGACATTATTTTTAAGTTACATGGAAGTGCCTCTGGTTCCTTTAATTTTTAATTCCTTGTAAAATAAAAAGAAAATAAACAAACAAAAACAAAAAAACAAAAAAAAATAGAAAAAAAAAAGAAAAAAGTTTTTAAGCAGCTTAAACAAATGAATGTATTATTCATAAATACTTACAAGTTGCTATAACCCTTAGCTTTATCTTTGTTAATGTTGAATTTGTAGTACAAGATCAATAAATCATAAAAAATAAATCTTTTCTCTTTAACAAAATTCTTGTTTTTTTTTTCTACTAATTTTATTAAAAACATTATGTATATATAATAAAATAACAAATTTTTAATATGTATAATAATAAATAATTTTCATTATAAACACCTTTCCGTAACTATACTTTACATTAAGTTCTACTTTCGATCATTTAAAATTAATCAACTTGCTTTTTGTGTAATTATCTTAGAAAGTGCTTGATAAATGCCAATTAATGATGAAATGGTACCAAGAGCACCAACTTGCCAATCTGAAAATTTACCTCCCCACAGAGTACCAGATGGCAAATAATTTATCGCATAACTCAAATCTAGTAATAATCGTAAACAGATGAGCATTTCGCTGCTCTGCTGATCCTTCAGTTTCGACTTATCGAATCTGCAAGATATTTTTTAACAATTTTCATCGGTTAATTTACAAACGGTAAGTTTTATTAATAGACAGTACCTTGGATTTAACTCCACTTTACTAAAAAGTAATTCTTGTTTTTTAAGCAGTTTGTATCTGCGTAAAGATCTGAAAAATGTAAATTTATATATAAGAAACATCAAATGATTATTGAGAGCTATTTTTCCCTTAGAATCGCACGACTATTTTCTTTAAACTTTGCCTCGTTACACAATGTTGTATAAATAATTATTTAAAATATATTCATATATAATTTATAGACTTTAAAGTATATAATCACTTTGTATTATAATTTTTAATAACGAGATAAATAATTTGCTCTGTAAGGCATATTTTAATAATAATGCGCCTACTTTAGAAACAAAATATTAAATACATACTTTATTAGTGCAAGATATAGAGAAAATATCCAGAACCAAACTGAAATTCTATTCCATTTAACAACATTTATTTGTATAAGTTTATTTTCCCCGGCCCAATAAATATGCTCTATAGGACTATAGAAAAGATCAAGAGCTATTTTAAACACTTCAATGAATCTAATAATCCAATCGCTATGCTGGAACAATAAAAAATATATCGTAGTTAGATAGATTTCTTATGGAAATAAATTGTAATATATACAAATAGTTATAATGTAAATGTAATCGAACCTTTTGCCTCAAAGTATAAGTTTTAACTCGATGTATATTTGGAATATCATCCAGTAGTCTTAAAATTACTCTTGCTCCACTCATCTTACTTCCAAATTTTTTAAATTTAATTGCCGTATCATGGGACGATGAAAATCCTGATGCTAATTTAGCTGCATAAGAAAGTGTTCTAAGAAATTTGTCCCGTCCTTCGTAAGTCTCCAAGTACTCGGATATCGAAGCAATATTCATTTTTTATAATACCTGACTCACTTAGGTAATAATATATCTTTGATATATTTTCAAATATAATTATATCCTTATTCTATTACTAATGTTGAATGATCCAATTTTTAAATCGTCAGTGATTTTAATAATCAATATAAATAAGTATTTTACACTTAATTAGAAATATAGCAACGATTACAGCAAAATAATAAATACACGAAATAACAAATACATCGATTAATATTCATCAACATACTGGATTATAATTACATGATGACTAAGTAAATTCATTGTTTGCCTTGACGTAATTATAACCTAACTGATTATCAAATCTTTATCGCATTGCATTAACAAAAGCTGTCTCCCCTCTCATTTGGCTACCGAACTTGTAAATAAAATTATAAACAATATTACGAGACTTTGCATCCTGATTTACCAAATATAAATTCTTTTCCTTTCGATTTATCTCTCTTGAACTTTAGCGAAAATAAATGTTATTTCGAAGATCTTCTTGTTAAAAATTATTCTTCTATATTGATTAAATGTTATGAGACGTATAATCTTAGAGTTGCAAAAGATTGTCCAATGCCCATCTTCATTTTAACTTTTATAAAATATACAATTCACAATTATAAAGAAACTTGTATAATGTTATTAAGGGCACAACTAATGACATTATAACACTAGGGGCAAAATAATTTCTGTACATGCGTATAAAATAGGACATAATAAGCGGAAAGCCAAGATGTTCTCTAGCTTAAAACTTTCGCGCCGCTTCAGAATTTAAATAAATGCTCATGTTTTTTCCCCATTACAAAGGACGACAATAAATTACGTGGGAATGAATTTAATCTGCCGTATTAGAAAATTATGATATTCCGTTAATAGTGTTAATGGGTATTGATAGAAGCATACATTATGACTTGTTAGCGATATAACGAAATATTTGCACTTATATATGCACTTTTAGCTCCACATTACATGATGTATAAACCAACAGATCCAGTATTTTTCCAAATCAACACAATCTAATCTTTAAAAAGGACACTTTTACTCGACATTTTCATAAACTATAAAAAGCTAATATAATTTCATTCTGTACGTGTAATCCACGTATTCATATTTAAGGGATTATTATGTCTATAAAAAAAGAAATGAACGATAATGATCAATGCTTCATAAATTTCAAAATTTATTTCGTATAATTATGGAAATTATGTTAAATGGAAAATTGTTAAAATTCAACATTTTCCAATATTTTCACATAATTTGAGTAGAAAAGAAAAATGACGTGTACTGTATGTGCTTATTTCAATTAAATTTTTAGTTTAAATATATACTGTATATTGAAATTTAAATGTAAAAATGTATACATTGTATCAATTTTTTTCTAAACTACGTCATTTAAAAACCATCACTTTCCATATGTTGTTTAATTATTTTTATGTTTAATAGATTCTTCCTTTGTGTACTGTTGTACTTTCTTTACTCTTATTTAGCTATTAATAAAATTTTATCCGATACTTTATTTTTCTTTTATTAATGATGTACATTTATATATATATATATATATATATATATATATATATATACATATGTTGATTATAAATAAATTTCATAGAAATATTGAACGTAAGTAAATGATTTAATGATAGATAATATCGTACTCGAACGCAAATGAATAAAAGCCTAATTATCTTTCAATACGTAATTTATTTATACGAATGCATATGGTTTATTAATAATCTGCAGTTTCTATGTTATAAGAATATTTTTATGACAATAGAATAGATATATATATATATATATATATATATGCGCTCAAGCGAGAAGATTTTCATCCTTAAGTACAAGATCTATACGTATTTGGAAATTATGTTTTTCGAATATTTGTATTTTTAATATTTGTAAATTTACTTGCTTATTCGTAACTAAAATAATTAGAGGTATTACGAATGATATATATTATTATCTTGTGGTAATGTTTTTCGGTCAGCAAAGAAAGGAATTTATTTAAGGATGGAAGAAGTACTATATAGTACAGGGACCAACTACTTAATTTTTATTTTCACATTGTGCGAAAAAGTTCGTGAAAAGTTGGAAATAATGTAGAGTAATTAAATTTGAAGGAGATGAGAATAAATAATAACGTTAAAAAAATTATTAATTTTAAATTGTTTATATTATTTGAAAGCCATTAATATTGGAATATTTGTATTGATATTATAGCTTAAAATAATGTACACCATAAAAGTTAATTTATTATTATTAATATAATTAGAAATATAAATTTATATTTTTCTTTCAAATTATGTTATTGCACATATAGATAAAAAAACAATGAATTATGAGAATATAAATAATTCTAATGACTTTATATAGTAAAGAAAATTTTACGTTGTTGTGTAAAAGAATATTGTTGAACAACATTCATCTATAATAATGAATTAATCCTCGGAATTTTCTTTCATTACATTTTAATTAAATATACTAATAATTTTTGTAACTTTTTTAGCCAGACATTTGTCGGAAATTTTGAATTTGTATTCAAAGGTGCTGTGCTGTAAATACAATAAGAATTTGATTCGTATTATAAAATTATATACTAAAAACTTAATTTTTAGCTTAAAAACTATGATTTGTATTATTGATTCATTAGTCAACTAATGATAATTTGTGAAAATTAATGAAAATTATTATTCGATGTTGATATTAAGTGACATCTAATAATAATTAAATTATGATTATTATGAAAAAATCAAGCATATACCATTTCTCCGTAGATAAAATGAACGAACATTTTGGTATTGGAAACTGTTGAATATACTGAAATTTATAAGCATACGCGCAGTTTTATAAAATAATTTTTATTACAATTCTCACATTTTTTTATTTTTTTTATTTTTTTATTTATTTCATACAATTCAATAACTTACAATTTATATAACTTTAATTGATTTTCATTCAATTGTAAAACTGTTTCCATATTCGATACTTATTGCTTGATTTTTCCGCAAAACCAAAATGCATGACAAAGCAAAAGTACTTGAGAAAGACGGAAAGGGAGGGAGTAGAATTAGAGAGAGAGAGAGAGAGAGAGAGAGAGAGAGAGAGAGAGAGAGAGACGGATAATAAAATACTATTTTAAACAGTTAACTAAAGCTCAATTATCTTGATTTTTTAAATATTCACGCATATGTTCATTATGCAGATTAAAGAAAGAAATAAAATAAACAAATTTTTTGTTCTTTATTCAAAGTGTGAAGAAATATTCGATGCGCTAAGTTAAATTAATCGAAATTTTAACACATATTGCTGATTTGATTATAATTTCTCGTCTATTGGCGGAAGTTTACTTGTATCCCAACGACAAATGCCAATAGAATTAGTGTAGCAGTTTAAAGCTTTAAAGCATTTACATGTGATGTGGAGCTAAAAGTGCATATATAAGTGCAAATATTTCGTTATATCGCTAACAAGTCATAATGTATGCTTCTATCAATACCCATTAACACTATTAACGGAATATCATAATTTTCTAATACGGCAGATTAAATTCATTCCCACGTAATTTATTGTCGTCCTTTGTAATGGGGAAAAAACATGAGCATTTATTTAAATTCTGAAGCGGCGCGAAAGTTTTAAGCTAGAGAACATCTTGGCTTTCCGCTTATTATAAATATGATTTTTAATTAATATTATAATAGTTTATTTATATTTTACGCACGTGATGATAAAGCAAAGCACAGTTATAATTGAGAAAATTTTCGTAAATATGCACCTGTGTAATTGATAAAATTTTATCGAATTATAGATGCCGGTAATTATAATCCGCAATTATAATGTTTGGTTTGTTCTAATGGAAAATGAAGTAAAAAAAAACTAATGTTACAATAAACTTGGAGAAAATCCTATCAGTGGCTCGTATTTCTTTTATTGCCTAACCTGCGAGTTTGCAAGTTCGATGAGAGAAGGTAAACTTGATTTTGCCGGGTAAAGAAGTAATAAATGGTTAATTGGTTAGAAACGAATAATTATAAATAAAGAGATTAATGATTATAAAAAATTAAGTTTAGATATAAATAAGGATAGTTTAATAAAGTTATCATAGACAATATTTAAATGAATTGTTGATTTTAATATAAGGTAATTAATAATTTTTAACAAAATCTTATATTAATTTTATTTGTATGAAATCTAAGGTATACGATTGTAGATTATAGATTATTATTTGTAGATAATGTTTAAAGGAAGTTTTAATTGTAATGGAAAAGTTAATATAAATGACTGGCAATTAAACAGTTCTAGCTTACTTCAACAAAATGAAGTAGATAATGTGTTGAGTGACAGAAGATCATTGCCTGATTTAATTTTTAATGTATTTGACTCTAAACTACCAGGAATAAATATTTTGTTAAATTTAAAACATTTTGCTAGATGTTTGGAGTAAGTAGCCATTATCTATATAGCTAAGTTTGTAAAATCATTAATTGACAATATGTAATTGTCTGTTAATTTAGAGCTAAACTGAAGCAACTCGATAGGCATGAAATACTAACGGATTCTGGGAAACAATCTGTAATAGAAATATATAAACATGTGGATTTTTTATTACTAAGAATGAAAATTTGTGAATTTCTTTTTTATTTACGTAACTATTTGCAAAGGTAAGTCCAAGATATTAATAAAAATAAATGTCCTTCTTCTTTTTAGATAATTTATGTTACGTTTAATTCGCAGTATAAAAGAAGAAAATTTTTCACTTAAAGATATAGCTGATGAGGCAGAAAAAGACTTTCATGATTTACTTGGTACAATTCGTAGATTTCTTTGTCGACTACGCAAAATGCCTGATTCTACATTTCTTTATGCCACATCGAATGTTGGCAATAAGGTTTCAAATTATTTTGTTTATCGTGCGTCACCTGTATTAGTTCTTTAAAAGTAAAATTTAATAAAGTATATTGTATATAGTGCAATCAGCCAGAATATCACATGTACCACATTCACCTAGACTTAAGATGGCTAATAATTTCGCTTACTTATATACAAAATAATTCATGGGGTTGTCTAGATAATAAGTCTGATGATTTGGAAAACATTATTTACGCAGTTATTGGTGATTTGATTTATATTTCATTGAAAATATTTGAAAGGGTAATATTCCATAATGGCAAATATATCATTTAATTATTATAGTTAAATCAAATGTATGTGCGCGTGTATACATATGTGCACATAATTTGTTTTATTTATTTTTATAGATTTCTACCGCTGAATTGAAACTAAAAACACCGTACACTTGTACTTGTATGAGAGAATTATGGATTATGCTACAGATATTTACAGATGATTTATCCGTGAGAGGAAAATGTAAGGTACGAATAAAAAAAAATTTCCTTTACTTTACACATTTTATGTCATACAAATTTAAACATAGATTTTTCTTAGATGTTTTGGGCTTACGTCAGTTCAATTTTAAAACACTTATGTTCAAACGAATTCAACAAGGATATTGCTCCTTTTCAACAAAATATAGATTTACCATATTGTAAAAATGCAGAATTATTTTGCATATGGCTTATATATCACTTAATGCTATTATATGGATATAATAAAAACGGTGGATACTGCAATAGTCCTTCTAGTAGAGCAAGTATTCTATGTTTAACATTCACTTTAACAACAATAGATGTGAGAGTATAAAAATTTAAAATAACTTTAAATGTTATATGTACTATCGAGAAGAATAATAAATTTTTATGTTTTCATTTTTGTATAATTAACTGGCTCGTTCGCTTTAAGTAAAAAAAGCTGAAAAACACATTTTCTTTGGGATATATAATAATGTAATACTTTACGTAATAAGATCTATTTAATTCTTTTATATTTAATAGCTTAATGAACGTCAAATTGAATCAAGCATTGATATAGTAGAGAAAATATTAAAAGCTTATGTAAATAAAGGCGGTAAGAATGGCGCCAGAGATGAAATAGATGAAGAATTGTGTATCATAATACCATTACTGCATGTTTTAAACTTTGAATGGTGGAAACCTCAAGTTCAGATAATCACATTATTATGGGAATGCTTTCATCGAAGATTAGATCAACCATTTTTAATGCAAACACGAGGTCCTTGGTCTACATCCAGCGAGAAGTACTTATTTTCTTACGCTCAAGTAAATAATAACTAAATGTTATTCCAAGTATAATTTGTGCCATGTTCTTTTAGAAAAACGCCAATAGATATTTTAGATCAAGTTAGAGGTAGAATTAAAATTATAAACGACGTAAGCAATGAATCTAGCTTTGGCTTATTTCTGCGTTTATTAGGTAGACAACGATTATATTGAGAAAAACTGTATATAAAAGAACAATAGAATAGCTAACAATTAATTATAATTATAATATTCTTATACCATTGTAGGAGCAATGCTACAAAAGCATTATAATCGTAGTGATTTGAAAATTTGGAATCAAATAATAGGGCGAATTTATTCTAGATTCTCGCAAAATAAAATACAAGAATTCTCGGAATCTGGCCTTTTTAATTTTATAACTTTATTTATTACGTTAGCCGTTACTGGAGATACAATTAACGTGGTAAGTAGATGGAATATATTTTTCTTAATTTGCCTAAGATAAAGCTTTCATTTATAGTGCTCAGCTATGGTAAATTTGTTACCATCGGTCATCGATTGGAGCGACTCAGTTGGTAGTAAAAAATGTTGTTTAATTTGGAAGAGTAAACTCGTTGTTTTGCTGCTGTATAACGAAAAAAAGTTATCATATCAAGATATCGCGGAAGACTATACAGAAACGGTAATTCATTGATTGATTCTACAATAATTAAAAGTATTTAAATATCATTGACGATTTCTTTTATGACTCTTAAATACAAGGCCAACGCCATAAGCTGTCGAAAAGATGAATTTTCCCGTTCCATGATGATGTGGTTTATAGATGTTCTTAGAATAATCTTAACACAGAGCGATGATTTTGGACGCTCCGAGCATGCTTTTCTCGGTGGGTGGATCGATCGTTATCTTTTAGAATGTTCTCCGAATAGGGTAACGATTTTAACAAGCGTACTTTTGCAAGTTTTCGATAAATGCAACGATCTTCAAACCACCAATATGATGGGTACTCCTATTATTAATATTTTTATCATGTGACGCTGAATGCTTTATGTATACATATGTATCTACTGAATAAATTTGATCAACTGTTTCAGGATGTTCGTTGATGTTAAATGGATTATGGAATCATGTTGCAAGTCGAGTTCGTCAAATGGTCACCACCTTTGATTTATCAACAAAATTCTATGAAAATCCTACGAAACTAGCTGTGCTATTTACACTTGAAGCTTGTCGCGATCCAGTCACAGCAAAGAAATACAGACATTCAGCGATATCACTTTTTCATCATTTTACTACATCCATTATCATAAAAGATATAAGGTTTCAAATAATTATATTTTGTAATTTAATTAGAATTTCTAAAAAAACAATTTAAAAAATAAATTCTAGGATTACAAGATTATATTTAACTTTGATATTAGAAAACGCTATTACCTTGGAACATTTGAGAAAGGAAATTTTACATTTTAATACAATTTGTATTCAGGTATTATTTGGCCAGGTTTATCTTTTCTCGTCTATTATCAAATTATAAATAAAAAATAAAAAATTTATGTATTTTATAGGCATGGATAAAATGTAATATATTAAATTGTGACGTTAATAACGAAACGATATTTCTTAATAATTATATCTCTAATTTACCTGAAATTACGGAAATTTTAAAGTCTGAAAGTGATAGAAATGAATTTCTAAATAGTAATGAATCAATTATAAGTTTCTTAATGATTCTTTCAAGAAATAGAACAAACCTAATGGTATAATGTATATATATTATATATATATATATATATATTGAATTTAATTAAATCAAACTAAATGATCGAGTAATTATTAATGCCAATATTCTTTTTTATTTTTTTATATTTCAGTCGGAACAGCAATGCATATCTTTTGATGCTACCTGCAAGCCATTTTTCCATAATATAGAAAAGTGGGCGCTGCAACTTATAAATGAAGAGAATAAAGATACAACACTCGCAGCTTGGATTTATAAATGCATTGGAACGGTTATTTTTTATTGTTCGCCAATATTATATGTGAAGGTTGAAATAAGCAATTAATAATGATAATTCCAATTTTTATCATTATATTTAATTACAAATTTTTTTCTTTTTTAGAATCAATTAAATAATACGTTAAAAACGTTAATTAACAAAATTGCTTTACCCCCAGAACAATCGACTCAACAACATATAACGTATCTCGCTCAAAAAATATTTTCAAAGTTAATTTTAGGTATTGAGAACTTAAATATAAAGTCCGACATATCTTTGCAAACTTTAATTAGAGAACTTTTCGAAAGGTATCTTCCACTATTAATAAAAATAGAAGGCAACGATGGAAACTCATTCCAGGTTTCAGATACACTTTCAAAATGTTTTTTAAAAGCTAAACCTGATTTTGTTCGGTTGATCTTGGAGATTTTAGGACGTAATTTTATTACCATACCTGGAGGTAACACTGTACATAAGCATTGTTATTTGGTGAGATTAAAAAATCTTGTACAGTTAATTGTAATGAAAATAGGAGTCGCTGTTGAAGCAAAATTTTCATATTTTTTTTTCCAGGTAATGTTGTTATTGAGAAATATAATTCGAGCTGGAGAAATTTATACCAGTGATACTGTACATTTAATCATTATAATTTGTGTACCCTCTATTCTCAATTGTTACATGAGGGTGCATTATCACCATCCACACAAACAACAAACAATTACTTTACTACAAGACTTATTTTTAAACTCGTATTTTAAAAAATGTTCGGCAATAAGGTTTGATTAAAATGCTACATATATTTTTTGTGCAAAGATAAATGTATTATTCTGTATTGTTTTAATGTACGATTTGTCTTTTACTTTCAAGGGAGAAATTTAACGAAGTCGTTTGGAGTGTATTACGTAAATTCATTGTATCAAATATAAAAATTAGTTTCGAATTTTTAAGCTCTACTGAAAAAATTAATTTTGAATTTTTCCAATATTTATTGTCCTGTATCGAATGTATGGTATCAGAATGCGAGAAAAATAAAAATCCTTTAGCAGCAGCACTAAGGTACCACGAACACTTATTTATATAAATACTTGAAGTCTATATAACATATAACTATAATAATTGTCCTTTTTTACAGATATTATCTTAATGACGTAAGCATGAAACTCACTAAGTCAAAGATCCAAAATAGTAAAGATGCAGATTTTTAATAAAATGCTAGAATTCTAGCATCTATAAGGTGTATATTATTTTGAGTAAATTATTGATTGAAATTAAAAAAATTTCATAATTTATAATGAAAGGACATTTTCACTATAGAGGGATAAATATAAATTAAATATTTTCTAATAGTGATCTTTCCATCTACATCGGTAGACATAGAAAAGAACGTCTTATTTTTTCTGTGAGACAACATAAGGCAAATTAAATCGAATTCCGGTTAATGTGAGCAAGTAAAAATGCAATGTCTAAAACTATTTTTTATTGTTTGATTTTCAAGCTTAATGCCTGAATCGAAGAAGATGACAATTAAATTTGTACCAAATTCTCATTTCAATATGCGCAAAGAAGGTTGACTATTGTCGTATGTTAATAGTAAATTGTCAAAATTGTTTGATAATTCAGCGGTAGAAGAAAAAATAGTATATAAAAAAAAAAATGTCGTTTCCATAGTTATTTATTTTTTATAATACAAAGTGCCAAATATTAGCGTGCTATTAAAAAATGTTACATTATATAAATTAAATAGTTTTGACTATATATATTGAATTATATTTGAATTCTATTTGTTGATATCATGCTTGGATAATTTTTCAAAATCAGGAAGATTCTTATATTTTACAGTGAATGAAATTCAAATATAATAAATCACATTTTTCATTAACACCGCTTGAAATGGTGAGAGTCTTTCTGTATAAATCAAACGATGATTCGATATAACATTTTATAACATTATATATATAGACGGGCATGTATTTTCAAAAATGTTTTGTAAAAATTACCAGTATGACTAGATTTGAACCTCATAACGAATTCGCATAATACGAAAATGCAAATATTCCAAATATTCCAAGAGAGTAGAATTATATTGTTTCGTAATTTTATCCTCATTTTCTAAATAAAATAGTTATTATATCTATTTATGTACATCATATGTATTTGTAAAGAAAATTATATTTATTTTAATAATAATGAAAAAGTAACTGTAACGTTTTAATCATACATGATTTTCTTTCTCAATCATTTTTATTATTTATTTACTCCCAAGCGTGTGTATCTCGTTTTTAAATATGCCTATAAATATTAGTTTGGCGTATTATTTGTCTTGTGAATTGTTTAAATCATACAATGAAAGATTATAAATGAATATTACCTAGAGATTTGTAAATGTTGCGTTTATAAGGGTAGGAGAGAACGATGACAAAGAAGAAAAAAAGATGAAGACTAGTAGCAATCGTCTTGTCATTCGTTTTTTTTTACGTCAGTATTATCATTTATTATAATAATGTAAGAAATATGTGACGAATTTACGAAAGCTTTAATTTCGTCGGCTTTTCAACCTTCGAACAATGATCCTTGTCCTCAAGCGCAGCTGGTTAGTTTGTCGTAAGGATTATTTCAGATAAAGTGGTCGTAGGGTCCTCTGAATTCGGGAATACATGCCGAGTTAGCGTAAAAGTACGAAAATAAATGACAAAGGCAGAATCCGAAACGGCCCGCTAAAGCAACTGGAGCTGCGGAGGGGAGGCCCAGCCTCAAGCGCGACCTGGGCCGAAAAATGCGCGGCTCCAGAGGCACGTGAAAGGGAGTCGAACCTCTCGTGCGCCGCTTGATCGGTTGGACGTTGATTGCGTGGGAGCGCATGCGCGCCGCTTGGCTACTATCCTCCATCTCCGTCGGGCTCGTCGAGGTACGCACGAGCTGAGGTGAGAAGAAATGTCGGGCTCCGGCTCGCTTCCACGGTGATTGTGAGGCGCGGCAGCGAGCTCGAAAAATGGATAAGGGGGGAGAGGAGGGCGCGTAATCGCGGAGCAATAAGGACGAGAGAGGAGGGCTGGAGGGGTGACGCCTCGAGTGCGAGCCTGTGACAGGAGGGGAGCGTCGGGGCCCGCGTCGCAGCGACACGCCACTACTCCCCCGGGTGTCCGAGTAGTGTAGCGACGATGCAAAGTACACGGTTTGGTCAGTGCCCACGGAACTGACGGAGTGAGCGGGCAGGCGCACGAAATAGAGAGAGAGAGAGAGAGAGAGAGAGTGTTGTGCATGCGCGTGTGTTTGTGTTATTTGCGTATACCGCACGGTGTGGGGAGGCAACTTTGAGAGAGAAAGAGAGAGAGTTAGGCTTGGCTAGGCTAGGCTAGACGAGGCTAGGCAGCCGAGAAAGAAGGTTGGCTGCGCTGCATTGCGCTCGCTCTGGCAAGTGGAAGCAGCAACAGCGGCGGTGACGACGACAACGACGACGACGACGACGACGACGACGGCGGCGGTGGCGGCGGCGGCGGCGGTAGTGGCGGCGACGGCGGTGGCGGCGGCGACGGCAAAGCAGCGCGCACACAGTGTTCCTAACGAGCGAGTCCTGCCCCTCTATTCCCGTAGATATCGTTGTCCGGAGGAGCAGTGGGCCTAGCTCCCTTTGCCGCACCGCTTACGGATACATGACTATACGCGAGAGCTACTCGTCCTGGTTTATCGTGGACTACCTCGCAAACAACAGGAACAGCAGCAGCAGCAGCGGTTCTCGAGCGTGCGCCAACGAGAGGAATACGTGTGCTCGAATGTGCCTCCCAAGTTGTTGGTTGTAGAGGTGAGGCTACCACTCGCGTTGATAAGTCACGACGATAGGGTCCCACTTCGTCGCTGCGCTCCGTATCGCTTCTCCTTGGATACGCTCGCTTACCTAACCCCCAAAATTCGAGCTCGCTCGGAGCTGCTGCATAGACTGCGATCGGCGGTCAGAGGTAGCGCGCACCATACTTACCGATGTAGCGTATTTGTCTCCGGTACGTTGTCGCGCGTCGTCCGAGGCCTCAAGGAGTAAACGTCAAGGAGAGAGTTGGGTCGGGGAGCCTGGGCCAAGCAAGTGGCCGGGAAACGTCACCGAGGCTCCTCAGCAACTCGTCGCGTCGCGAGTTGCGCCCTAAGGCTTACGATCATCGAGATATGCGCTCGGCCGATAGTCCGATCTGAAGATCGTCGGCGCGAGCGCGAACGGTCCCGTCGCGCCCCGGCACCCGTATATGTGTGCTTGTGTTGGTGCACGGCGGAGGGCGGAAGAAGAAGACGAAGGAGACGACGGGCAAGAAGAGGAAGAGAAGAGAACAAGAGGAGTAGCAGTAATAGTTGTAGCTCTAGTAGTGTAGTAACAGCGGCGGTGTCGGCGACGGCGGCGGCGGTGTCGGCGGCGGCGGCGGCGGCAGTAGCAGCAGCAGCAGCAGCAGGAAAAGAAGAAGAAGAAGAAGAAGAGGCAACAGCAGCTCCGTGGTTCTGCAGTAGAACGGACACGACCGTACTGTTGTGAATCGAGCAGAGAGAGAAAGAGAGAGAACGTGTGCGAAGGAACGTAAGGTAAAACGAGGAAACGACGGTCGGAAAAAACGTGTGTGCTACGCGTGTGCCGCGCTTGCGTGTGCGTGCGTGTGTGCCTAGCGCGCCCCGCGCCTGTGTGCGTGAGAGAGTGCGCGAGGAAGGTGTGCAATAATGTTCCGCTGTATTCCGATCTTCAAAGGCTGTAACAGGCAGGTGGAATGCGTGGACAAACGCCACTGCTCCCTGCCTACCGTCCCCGACGAAATCCTTAGGTACTCGAGAAGCCTCGAGGAGCTGCTGCTCGACGCCAATCACATTCGCGACCTGCCCAAGGTAAGTCCTGTCCACTCTCTGAACCTCGACTTCTCCCTCTTCCCGTGACTTTACATGAGAGAGCCATACGCGCGTTCGCGCAAACACAAACACAGACTGAGAGAGAGAGAGAGAGAGAGAGAGAGAGAGAGAGAGAGAGACCAGTATGCATTATGCCTCTCCTTGATGCACTGGCGTTCGCTATACTCTGTCATGCCGGAGAGAGGGTGATGTACTTTGCATTTTATGCACTTGCTCAAGATCTCCCATGGAATATGCTGGGGATACGTTTTCTTACCAAGAAGTTGTACCTATTAAACGACTGTACATCCTGCTCATTACGAACCGAGAGTTTCGTATATAGGTCCGCCTAATTTATTACACGATTCCACCTAATTTCCGATCGGAAAATTTACTCCTTAATAACCGAAGCAAACCATCGTCCCCCCTCCCCTCCCCCTCCTACACCACCACCTTCAAAAATATCAATTATCGCAACATTTTATTCGCTATAATTCCTGGTTTTTATTCTTGATGCACGCGGAATCTCACGCGGTATGTTCAAGTGCCAAGGAATACGAATAAAAAATCCTGCGTGGATGGTTATATTAATGACAATTATAAACGGTCGAGTCCCAAACAAGTGATTCCTCTTATATTTAATATATTTTTTTAACGGTATTTATTTTAAGATACCGACGAATCATCATTTATGATTCATATCGAATCAAGCGATTTAAACGATTAGAAAACTTCATTGTTGAAATGATTTAATCGAATTTATCGTACTTACTAGTTAAGTAGCCCATCTTTAGGTTCTTAATGAGAAAAACCGCCTCTGCGGTTAAAAGAACGAAATTTTTCATTCATCAAGTTGAATGTAGTGTAATGAGCACTCTCGATGATCGATTCATTAAATACGAAATAATGATAATAGCAAGTAATCGGCTTCGTTAAATGAATTATTTTCATTTGATTATTGAAAGTATATAATAATTTACTTGTTCCGAATACTATTGCAATCTTTTGCTCATATACTCAATTATTTTTACATTAATCTCAATATTACCATATTTGTATTCAGATTTAAGAAGCTTTAATGCTTAAACCCTATTATTTTATTACGAAGTGTTTCTCATTCGAATAAATGTCCCTTCGTTATTATTGTTGTCGCTGTTGTTGTTATCGCTGGTGGTGTTGTTGTTGTTGTCGTTGTCGCTTGTGTTGTCGTTGTCGTTGTCGTTATCGTCGTCTTTGTTATTATTATTATACTATTAATAATATTAATACTATTATAATAGGCAAGTACCCCGCAAGGCATGTAATTTCTATATTTTTTTTTTATCATTCAATAGTTAAAGAACGTTTATTATTATAAAGATATAAATTTTCATGCATCGCTTGATCTATCGTAAATTCAACGTTGCACTTAAATTGATGAATATATGTAAAACTATGATACGCATCCACATATTACCATAGAAATATTATAAAAGTAATAATGATCGATTCAATGTTCTTGTTGCCTCTCATTTTACCCTTTTCTTCTGTCGTTTCGAGCTGATGATTTTTTAATATTTTTCTCGTTAAAATG